AGATACTGCGAGAAACCTTACGAGACTTAGAGTATCAAAATTGGTGTAAACTTCCATACAAAGGGAATGGGGTGGTTCTTTTCAAAGAATGTAACAAGATCAATAAAAATTTGGCTAGAGGTTGTGGCCTCACAGAAGCTGAGTTCAAACAATACTTGAAAATGGTCGGAGACGTTATTCCTCTTAGAAGTCTTCATGGGAGATCCAGGGACGGGAACCAGTGCAGGCATTGTCCTGTATCTGAGAAATTTACTCTTGAAACTCTTGCCCACGTCCTTGGAAAGTGCCCATTTAGTAGTCTTCTACGAAATACCCGCCACCATACCATCAGAAAAATCATTGCTGATCAATTCAGAAAGAAAAGTTACGAGGTCTATGAAGAGGTCACGGCTATAGAAGAAGAGGGCTCTGTGAGGCGGAGTGACATCATTGTTATAGACAAGGAGAAAGATTTCGGTCTCATTATAGACCCAACAGTTCGTCTTGAGACAAATGAAAATCAGCCACAGGAAGTCCATGAAGAAAAAGTAAATATTTACAAGAAAACTATCCCATATTATTCAGAGAAATATAAAATATCAAAATTCGAAGTATATGGACTACTCATTGGATCAAGAGGAACAATTCCTCAACAAGTTGAGAAATTTTGGAAGAAATTCAAGTTGGAAAATCAAGTGTTATATTTAATATCTTTAACAGCCATAAAATTTTCTATTAATATTATAAGAAACCACCTATATAACAACTATCATAATTAGGTTTAATCAAACTTGCAAAATTTAATGTAATATTATTCTTTGTTCTACAGCAGACTACAATGTGTAGTAAGATTTCAATTTTTAAAATAAATTTGAATTTATATTATATATATATATATAACACTAGCTGACCCGGCGAACTTCGTATCGCCTAAGTTATAGGTTTCCCCTAAGACAGACCGATGGAAAGAAAGTACCGTTACGTTTAATTTTCAAGATGATCTCGTTCGCATCGCTCAATCACGTCCTGGTTGAAGTTCGTTCGCTACGCTCACTCACCTTTGGGTTGGAGCTCGTTCGCTACGCTCACTCACCTTTAGGTTGGAGCTCGTTCGCTGCGCTCACTTGCCTTCAGGTTAGCTCGTTCGCTACGCTAACTCGCCTCCAGGTTGAAGTTCGTTCGCTACGCTCACTCACCTTTTGGTTGCAAATTAGCTGTTGTCATAAATGTAAAAGAAATAATAGTGCTGCACCCTGTACGTTTAATCTTCAAGATGATCTCGTTCGCATCGCTCAATCACGTCCTGGTTGAAGTTCGTTCGCTACGCTCACTCACCTTTGGGTTGGAGCTCGTTCGCTACGCTCACTCACCTTTAGGTTGGAGCTCGTTCGCTGCGCTCACTTGCCTTCAGGTTAGCTCGTTCGCTACGCTAACTCGCCTGCAGGTTGAAGTTCGTTCGCTACGCTCACTCACCTTTTGGCTGCAAATTAGCTGTTGTCATAAATGTAAAAGAAATAATAGTGCTGCACCCTGTTGGTAATCCTTGTAACTTTAATGCTATTGAACATCATAGAACAGAACCAACATGTTTAATTGAAACAGCTGTTAAGATTCATTAATTCCATTTCTCATAAGGTTAACATGGGAAACTCCAGAGCCACTGGGGCGGGAGCCCTTTTAAGAATTTCGAAACGGGAAATAGTTTACTTCCTATTCGCATACCTACAGAATTTACACACCAAATTTCATAACGATCGGTGAAGTCGTTCCGGAGGAGTTTGCAGACAAACACTGTGACACGAGAATTTTATATATTAGATTAGGTTTAACGAGTACCTAGGTTTGCTGCTACAAGGAAACTAATAAAGTAGTGTGTTTTAGTAAAATATTGATAGCTTACTATAAAATAAATAAATTTGCCAAGTTTGATCAAAATATATCCATAAACAAGCAAACTACAACATTTTACAATATTCTCCATAAGAATAACATGGGAATTTTAAATTTACCATTTTTTAAGTTTTCTCCGTAACCAATAACCGTACAAAAACACTTTGATATACTGAATTGTTTGTTTTTTTAAGCTCTTTAAGAAGGTTTGGAGAACAATTGGGAAATTTTGTGTTTTGAGGGTAAAAAGTGAGAAAAACCAATTTTTACCCCATAAAACCCCCCATAAAACCCTGTTCCCATGGTCCGATCATGCTGGATCGCGAACTCATTCAAGTTTATCCCGCCTTACACCTTCAAACCAAATTTCATCAAAATCGGATAAAAATTACTCAAGTTATCGTGTTCACGGACACATATATATATATATAAATCTATATATATATATATATATATATATATATATATATATATACATATATAAAAATTTGAACGAATGGTGTTTTTGGCCTCTGGGGACATTAAAATGAAAAAGTAAATCGGTCTCGGGCCTAAGTCTTACCATGAGACCTACGGTAATAGCTACTTCCCTATAGGGAAATTCGCTAAAAACTAAAAAAATTGAAAAAAAGCCAATAAAGTCTTTTTAAGTTTGTATATCTCCGAAAAAACTTACCTGAGACCCGAAAAATCGTTATGTTTGTGTAGAGGTGTGCTTCTTTTGTGTATAAAACATTGAAATATGACGATATTTTAATTTTTGAAATTTTTATGATAGAAATCATAAACGTGATGGTCAGGGACAAGCGGTACGGTCGTGAATTGTCTGAAATAATCTAAATCTTTCTAAACAATCCTTCAATTATACTGTTAGTTATAGTAAAAATAAGTGTTTCAATTGAACTAAACTGTTCAAATTACAATTATATTAAAGTTATTGTCACGACCAAACACACTATAATCCATAAGGCTGGATTGGTCGTGAAAAAACCCGCGATGGTCGTGAAATTACGTGTTATTTGGCTCTGTTCTGGCGGTAGCCCTGCACCTCATGTTCGAGGATACAAAGTGAACTTCTAGGTTAATCTAGCAATTGAAATATCTTATAAACAAAAATTAACACCATGTCTACTTCATCGAATGACTACGTACGGTCATGGACACACCAAAATTACAAAAAACACAATCTTTCCTTTATTAATCTTGTAATTCCTCCTTTCAACTCGAAAAGACCGGCACTACAATCCTGACGTACACCCCGAACTAGTCTCTAAAACCAACTGACTCAATCGACGCCAGGCTTGCCACTGTCGTGCTCCAAAGTTGAAAATTTTTCCCAAATGGTCGTGACGCCAAATCGAGGGACAGACTTATTTTGTCATGGTAGTCAGTTTTCAATGACAATAAAATTATAATATGCTCCTTTTCTGTCAATTCAATTCAATTCAATTCAATTTGTAAGTTTAATAACCATTGATGAAATAAAAATATGGCTTTATATATTTCGGCATGAATAATAATTAGTCTAAAAACAGCGTGAAAGTTGGAAAATGTACCCTAGGGACACGTCATGGTCGTGAATTTCGAGACTTTAAAAATACGAAAAAAATACCTAGAACCTATTTAAAACCAAATAAATGTGGGTAACATGTTGCCCCCGTCCCAAAAAATATTAAAACACATATTAATATACTACAAATCCAGTATCTACGAAGTAAAAGGCCAGGACATGAAAACGTACGCTTTTAAATTTTCACTCAATTGCAATTGCATGCTGCATAAAAAAATCTAATAAAATGTTGAACACGAATATCTGTTTTGCATACAATGAATGCAATGTTGTTGTATCCAATCAGGAAAGTCCTAATTGCTACACCTACATTTGGACAAACTGATCATTGATGATCTTCTTCTCTAATTTCTTTCAAAAGCCTTAGCGGAGGGATTTTATTACTTTTTACTTTCTCCCCCTATACCATAGTATATGGAGAAAGTATTGTTTTCGTCAAAATTTTCGAGTTTGAGTTTTGAGTGGATATATTCGTTTTGGGTCCCCCTGGACCCAAAAAAGTGGTTTTCGAAGTGATGTCTGTGTGTGTGTGTGTGTGTGTGTGTGTGTGTGTGTGTGTGTGTGTGTGTGTGTGTGTGTCTGTGTGTCTGTGTGTCTGTGTGTCTGGATGTGTACAGAGCTAGGGACTACACCTGTGGTCCGATTTCGATGAAATTTGGTATGTAGGTTCTAATCCATGGTATCTCCAGGCGTTTTTTTCATTTTTTTGAAATTTTGATTTTTAATGGGGATTTTCCCATAAAAACCCATAAAAAACCGGAAAAATCAAATTTTCTCAAAAATGGCCCGAACGATTTTGATAAAAATTTAGTATGTTGTAGCCCTTTAAATTCTGAACAAAATGTTACAAATCCCATTTCTGTAAAAATTACGGTTCAAAAGTTATTGTAAATTATGTTATTTTCCCATAAAACCCCCATAAAATAACAAAAAATAGGATTTTAGACAAAAATCTGGTTTTGATTTAACAGAGTATGTTATGATCCTTACAATTTTGATAGTTTTTGTAATTTTTTAGAAAATTTTATTTTTAATGGGGATTTTCCCTTAAAACCCCATAAAAAACTGGAAAAATAGGATTTTCTCAAAAATGGCCCGAACGATTTTGATAAAAATTTAGTATGTTATAGTCCTTTATATTCTAAACAAAATGATACAAATCCCATTTCTGTACAAATTACGGTTCAAAAGTTATGGTAAATTATGTTATTTTCCCATAAAAAACGGAAAATCGGATTTTCCCAAAATTGGCTAGAACGATTTTGATAAAAATTTAGTATGTTATAGCTAGTCCTTTAAATTCTGAAGAAAATTGTACAAATCCTATTTCCGTATATTTACTCTCACCGCTTACTCATGAGAAAGGTTGTTGACAATCTTATGGGAGAAAGTATGTGTCAGAATGCTGGTACCGTTTATTTACTTAGGGAGTATGTTTTATCTATGGCCTTAGTCCATCCCGTGTGCCGTGTGCCCCACCGCTAATCACTATCCCTATCCCAGTCCCAGTCCAGTCCAGTCAAGTCAAGTCGACCTGTCTGCTGTGCTGAGTGCTGACTGCTCCTGCTGGCTCGCTGGCTAAACTGGCTGAGATTGCTGAGAAACAGAAAACTAGGAAAAATGTTTTTGTGATAATTTATACCATTTTAGGATAAATAGTAAATACTACCAAGTTATAATGGCAGTATCGATAGCTCGTACAAGGTTTTGTCTTTCTTCCTTGAGCTCCCTGAAAAACAAAATCGGAAACGTAATGCCTTCCCTGGCTTACCCTCAATGTACAGGTTAGTTTTATTTATTTATATTTAGTCTTTAAGGTACAGTTCCGCAAAGAACCAACGATCAACGATATACTATCGCATGAATAATGATATTATTATAGGGCTTAAAACTTAGCCTAAGGGGTACAGTTTCTTAACTGGGCTATGCTAATATCAATTGAAACTATCGAATTGAAAATATTGATTAATAATCGATATTTTAAAATATATCTATTAGGCTATATAATTAAACTTTCATAACCTAACCTAACCAACCAAATTTGCTGATGGTGAAAAAAATCACATGAAGGTTTACTATTCGAATCGATAGTTTCAATCGATATTAGCGTAGCCCAGTTAAGAAACTGTACCCGGGCCGAACTTAACGGGACCTAGATTAGCCTACTCTTTGACAGAGTCTTCTTTCTATTTTTGAATTACAGAGGAAGACTCTGCGTTCTTGTTCTTGATTAAATTTGATTTGTATAAGCTAAGTCAACGAAATGTAAATCAAACAAATATAAATCAAAATTCAAATCAAACAAATAATATGGCCAGAGTATAAGTGTACTCTAGGCCTATTCCCTACAGCCTCCAAGTTACAACACTGCAATTTAATTTACAACTTAGGTACGGTACCGGTACTGGTCAGCCTTAGTCACTAACAAGACTACAAGATCGCGCCACTCATTCTACACTCATTCTCCATTCATACTTTGCTTAAAATACCTACCGTAGGCCTACTTTGTATGGTCCCCGTCTCATTGAAATGTATTAAGTATTACCTTTGACAATAGGCCTACAACTAGACATTCCATCCCCATGTATTAAATTTGTTGCCAGCTTTTTTACCAAAATCGTCGTAGGTAGTTGATGTGAGTCACCGACAGATTGTCCTGATCGAAATTACTGATTTCTGTTTAACACACAATCTTTTTTACCAATTCAAACTAATGGAATTACTTACTGTGAATACTGTGAGCTATAGCAACTGTTATGACCCTTGGCCGGCAACATGAAATAATGTAAAAAACAGAGTTTTAGTCACTAAGTAGCACATTCTTTGACTGGCTCACACAACTACGTTCGGTTATTATTGCGATAAGGGTGACCAAGAGTAGGTAGGTACTATAGTAATTTATATATCATTAGAAACTAGATTTATACCTGGAAATAATGGTGCAAAATTTTTTTTGCTGTCATAAAAACTGAATTAGGCCTACCCTAACTACAATTTTCGAATTTTATTTTAATGTTGTATAAGGAAGGTTGAATCTGCACTTCAATGTTTCCACTGTAAAATCAAAGTTAATAGCCACAAGTGCGCGCCACAAGTTCACTTCTCGGCCACAAGTGCGCACAGTCCATGCGCGGGACTGCACTGTCCTGCCATGTGCTGCTCCACAATATGCGCGAGCCCTAACGAAAACGTGGTTTACAAAAAACTTCACTGCCCTGTGCTGCGCTAGGCTGCTCCGACTGCGTCTCAATATGCGTCGGGCCAAAAAGTCTGTCACACAGTTAGCACAGCACAGGGCAGCATTGGGTAAAATGTCTGTGTTGCACAGTTGACATCGCATATTGGGAAGCAGTGTCGTACAGTTCTCGTATATGAGTGATAAGTTTCTTGTTTGAGCATGTTGTTAAATATTAGGATTTGAGTTCTGAGTCAGATTCATGTGCTGATCTTGATTTATTGTTACTTCTTCACCAAAGAACAAGAAAGAAAGGGCAAACAAATTTGCAATGTTTAGTGATTTTTGTGTTTTCTGCCAGATTTCATTCTTGTAAATTACTCTTTATATACTTACTATGACTGGTAACATAAAAACTATATAAAAACGCACAATTTCTTTACCATCCTCTAGATCCATCACACAACACTTAGTCATTATGGCGCAGGTGAGCAATGCAATGCAGACACTTATTTCTCGGCCACAAGTGTGCTCAGTTCACACATATACTCCAATGGTTTTTGTATTAGTTGCTAATACAAAATGTTATTAATCTGGATCTACTTTTTGTGGGCAATCGGGTAGTACCCTATCATAATCCATTGGTTAGCGAATTAGGTTACAGTATTACCTATTGATTTATTTATTGGTGACACGATTGTGTTATTGAAGTGTCATAGTCTCTTCCTGATAGGCCTATTTTTAGAGAATACATTTATTGATAATTAATGTTGGATGTGATTTATACTTGATTTGTCTTTGTTGAATTACTGTATTTTAGAAACTGCATCAACGCCCGTTTTTATTTTACAAGTTGAATTTTTGTAAATTGATATTAAGCTTTTGGTTTCTTGTCATCGTACGTGTGGCTTTGTTTTTTTTCACTCCACAAACCTTCCTCCCCTTCAAATGTTAGTCACTATGGAACATGGACTCCCCCAAACCACCACCATCAAAATTATTCAATGAAACTTTAATTTATTATACAATTTTACGGTCAAAGAAAAATTGAACATTAGTTAACTTGTGTGTGCAAATTTTTCAGGTCTAGGTATACGTTCAGGACTACAAGACTGCATCCCAGCAGTTTCTTGGGTCCAGCGAGCATTTCTAAGAACTAACATCAAAGACAGCATTAGTCAACCTTTAAAACAGGAAGAGGTTAAAGATACAAGAGATGAAGACAACTGTTATACCCAAGGTATTTTGAAAACGGCTAACTTAAGAAACTTAGCATGCCACATAGTTAATTTTAGCAAAAAATTTCTCACAGCCCCTGTCTTACAAGTGCTCTCTTTATTTGTTCAAATTTCTTAATAAATTTGCTCATTGTGTTTTCATTTTGAAGTTTATCATTTGCGAAGGATAACTATTTTATATTTAGTTTATCAAGTTTTTTACGCCAAGTGTTTTGATTGGACACCTTCTGGGGAGGTAACTTAGGCTATGTGAACTCCTCCCGTTTTCAACAAATTGACTATTAATTTACATTTATCCTACCTAACTTGGCTACCCTAACTAACCTAGGTTAGGTTAGCTAAGGTAATTAGGTAAGCTAAATGTAGATTAATTGTTAACTAGTTAACCGCCCGTGCTCTGCCGCAGGAATATTTTCAGCAATAAAAGACATAATAATTAACAAATACTGTTTTCTTTGTATTTTATTTAGGAGCTGCTTATTTTTTACATGAGATAGAACTGATAGTTTGCCTGTATGAACTATTTTATGTTAATCAAACCGATAAATTAGTTTAACCAAATGAATGTTTTATTAATTTGAGTTTCATTTGAAAAATATAGTAGGTAGGCCTATTAGAAACTGTGCAATGCTGATTACATAATAAGCAGCTACTTATGCTATGGAAATAATTTGTTCAAGTAGCCTATATTCCTATATTTATTGTTTTTTTCCATTACATTTGTTGTATGGATTAAAGATAGTCACTTAAAGTAAGACTTATGTAAGATAGTCACATGTAAATCACACATCAGCAGTTGGTCTTATTTCACGAATCCTTGACCCATTCTGTGAGTAACAGCTGTGTTTACATCGTTGGGCATAGCCTACTTTGTTTAATGTTACAGGGTTATACAATTATTATTATTATGTCTGCACAATATGTTATACAAAACAGACATAATTTAGAATCTTATAAAAAAAAACACAGTGCACAGGCCTCTACTTAGATATATACATTTTTTACCAAAAGATATAAAAAATGAATGCAATAGTAGGAAATTTTACTTTAAACTAAAGAAATTCCTAGTAGAAAAAGTAATTTACTCCTTTGAGGAATTTTACAATTTAAACTATTGTGAATAAACAATAAGTGACTCACTGACTCTATTCATTGTAGGCTACTTGCACATTTATGATGAATAAAGGAGATTTTGATTTGATTTGAGGGTATTAACGGTTCAATCCGATAGTAAAAGGAATCCCGGATCTTAAAATTATATAGACTACCAGAAAGATGTTGATTCAAGTGAGACTTAGAACTCGCCATTCCAAATGCAGATTTGTATAATATTATATTATTCAAATAGTTTTTGTTGTTTTTTTTTTACCCTTAATACTTTGTTTATAGTCGCTGTAGGCCCGTTGATAAGATTTTCCATAAACTCAAAATGCTGATGAGGAGCTAATTTGACCTACACCTTGTGACAACATAAGGAGAATAATTTGTGTCCCTGTTAGTCTGTTCTGAATCGAAATTCATAGATTTTCAGTAGTGACAAATCCAATTTAACGACCCCAATTCAAAAGAGTTGGTGTTTTTTGTAGGGATTTCCAGAGCACATTTAAAACCCTCACTGCTCTTTACCTTTTTAGTTTGGTGGTTCTCTACGTGTTTTTTTCGTTCTGTATGTCTCTTTATGCTCGGTTAATGATTACCTTTTCTTTTTCTTTTTGTACTTTTCACACTCTGGGGTTATTGATAAAGTTTTATAACGCTATAATTACCCGAGTCAACATTGCCATTAAACATCAAGTCACATAGCCTACTTCTTTGCCAGAACTGAAATCGTAAGTCACTGTTTCTCAAGCAACTGCCCTGTGTACTCGAAAAAAATAGTTAGGTAGGGTATAGTTCACCGATAAATTGTAGTTCCACGTATTCCAGCGTACTCGCCATCTCGAGAAGGTAAAATTTGGTACTGCTGAACGTCAAACACTGATCTTGAGTCTAAGATTAATCAGTTACGATAAAATGTTTTGTATGTTTCCTAATCATTAGCAATTATCTGTACAACTTGCAAGCGGATTTCTCTATGATTGTTCTGGTGGCTATAGAGAATAAATTATATTAATCAAAACAATAAGTTTCCGTCCCCTACTATGGGTATTATTTCACATTCCATACTCAAACTTAAACTCAATTACCACTTTCCTTCAGATCACTTCACAGGAAAACTAAAACATTTAAAAATACAAAATGTAAACCAAAACATACAAATAATGTTCAAATACATTTATAAATAATGTTCAAATACATTTATAAATAATACATTGTGGTATGAAAAGTTAACAAATATACTTTTCCTTGATCAAAATCGTGTGTTTATATTTATAAATAGAAACTCCTAGATTAACCCTCCGAGTGTCACGTGTTTTGGCCTTAATGTCAGCCTATTTTTTGCTCATTTGCAAGGTTTTATTAAAACTGATCTGAGAAGCTTAAAAACAATGTTAATTATACTGTTCTATATACCATTTTGTTTGGAAAATCATGGGCTTCAATATTATATATAAAACATAAGGAACATTTTTTCAAAAAAAAATTTTTATGTAAAAAAAAAATATAATTTGGAAAATTAAAAAAAAAAAATAAGTTCGCGCTCAATGAAATTGTATAAATTATAGGCCTATAAATATTTGAAAATAGCCACTTTGTTCTAAATTTTATGAGGATTACAAATATATAATCATATAGTGAGGTAAGTTATGAAATAAAAAAGTTATGAGTGAAAAACATGTTTTGCGCGTTTGAAAGAAAATACCGAAATCGCCAAATGACTCAACACCTTTCATAAAAACACATATTGAACCAACCAGAGTATTTCATGTTGTATGAAATTTTATTTACAGTTAGTACAAAATCAGCCTACTAGTAAATGAGAAAAATACAGCATGGTTTTACCTTGATTGGGGCCAGAATCCTTTGCCGAACTTGAAGAATCCGTTTGCTGAACTTGATAAATTACAAAGTATCCAAAATATATTTACAAAAAGTCACAAAAGTTAGACAAAAAACTTGCAAAGTTGTTGCTGTCAATAGTTTTCAACACTTGTAAATAAAAACTAAACACTTATGAAAAGAAATATTATATACAGAAGAATTAACACATGGGCCTAATCAGAGTCCTCACCGCTACTTTGGTCTAGGGTCACTTTGGCCCTTTTTCTGCCCCTCTTTAGCCTCAAAAAGTGCTGCATTTTGTGGAAGCATTCTCGGTGAACACCCACATTACAACCGGGGCACCAAAATCTAGACCTGCCTCTAGTTTTGGTGTGACCACAAACGATACACTTTCTTTCTTGTCTTTGAGGCAGTTTTTCAAGTCGGTGGTCACCGCAATCTCCGTGGGGTCCAGGAACTGGTCCAGGTAAGGCATCGCAGGTTGCTTGGCCTACGAGGGATTCTACAATAGATATGTGGAAATCTCTTCTTGATACAGGTTTGTCAGTGTTCTCTCTGTACAGAATGTAAGCATTTACGAGCGCAATATCAATAAAATTGAAGAACAGCTTCTTCCAGTACTTAGAAGTGGTGCGGTTGCAAGACATATGGTACACAGATTTATCGCTTACATCCACACCACCCATAAACTGGTTGTAATGGTGTATCAAAACCGGTTTCATACCTCTCAGTCCCTTTTTACTTGTAACAATTTGATCTTCCGCATGGTATGCTGTAGAAATCAAATACACAATTTTCCTACTCAGTTTCTGACGGTAACCAACCAATAACAGATTTCCCTTTCTAAAGTATACTGTTTCCCTTTCTCCTAAGTTATAGTTTTTAATTCTTTTTGATAAAAATTTTGACTTTTTGTTTATGGTTCCGGTGATGAATGTTTGTCGTTCAAGGAGGTTCTCAGCCAACGGAATTTTTGTGTAAAAATTGTCTGTAAAGACATGATATCCTTTGTCAAACAATGAAGATTTTTCAACCAAGTTCTTTACTACCCTCTCAGTAAATAACTCTTCATCATAATTAGCTTCAGCAAGGTAGTCACGTCCACTGTATAGTTCCATGTGCATAACATAATTGGTGGCACTATCGCAAAGTTCGAACTTCTTAATTCCGTATTGTTTGTGTTTCTTATTTGGCATATATTGAATAAATATGCATCGGTTCTTTGTTCCTACTACACTTTCGTCGATGGAGAGTTCCTGATTTGGTACAAAGTGTTTTTTGAAACTTGAATTCAGATGATCTAACAACCACCTTACTTTTATCCAATGGTCATGTCCAGGCTGACCCCTCTCAACAGCGCGGGCCGATGTCAAATGCAAGAAACTGCTTATGAGTAAAAACCTATTTATCGCCATGGTGTTTGAATAAAATGCTATATGTTCTGTTTTTCTAGTGTCCCAATATGATTTGATGTTTTTTCTAACTGTCATTCCCATATTGATAAGAATAGCAAAAAACTTTTTCATTTCCTGTATGGAAACATTGGTCCATTTTTTGAGCCTAGACTGTGGACTCAAATTATCTCTCTTTTCATCTAATGTTCTTTGAGCATAGGCATTTGTCTCTCTAGTTATGAGATTCCAAAAGGCAGCTGTCAAAAATAGGTTCAAATAATTGATAGGGGAAGAATTTCTGGGTGGTAAATCTTTGGGTCCTGTAGCCCTAACTTGAAACTGAGGTCTGACATCTTTCGGAGGTTCGGGGGGATACACCCTAATCCAAGGTTCTATGTTTTGCTGTACTGGTATTAGCCTAGGCCTACCTGCATTAGGGTCTTGTTCATTTTCAATTTCAAGATTTTCGTCAATATCTGACGTCTCTAAATCGTTCAAATCGGGCACATACTCCTCTCCACTCCCTGACGAAAAGTCTAGCAAAGATAGTTCAGAATCTGAATGATAATTAACTTCTATGTCACTACTAACTTCATCCGGATCGTCAATAAGTCCTTCACCATCACTAATTTCATCTTGTAGTGCATTACGTATATCACTACTGTCCATTTTCACCACTAAAAACGACGATAAACTTACAAAAACACACAAGTCACCGATGCAAAATATCCAAGTTGTCTAAAACACGAACGTCAGCTGTCTACTACATTAGGATCGGCTCAGATAACCTACAGCGCTGAGACAGACATTTGGAGAAAGCTTAGAATATAATGGAAAGAACGATACCTAACTCAATCCAGTACAGTCCGATTCAGTTAGTCATAGAGCCTTCGCCGTAAACAGTGTTCGCGAGTCGCTGCAGCGACGCACGACACTATACAAAGTGCGTTACGCGTCGCTGCAGCGACGCATGACACTCGGAGGGTTAATAATTGCATACTGAAAGTGAGGTTATAAAAATAATAACAAATGTTTGACAAACATTAAACAGCTGACAAATAATTTATAAACTGTATTATATTCTTCAATAAGAATTGTATTGACTCAACCTTTGAAGGGCTGTAGGTCTTAACTCTTCGAAAAAAAAAACGTAAATTCTAATGAAGTTCGGCAAATCTATGCATTTTCCTCTTTAATTTGACACATAGATCTTGTGGTTCGGTCCAGTAATTACTGAGAAAACAGTGTTACAACAACTGTGTATTAAATATATAGATTTGTAAAAAACAGTAGGAGTTTCCTTATCTCCTGAAATGTAGATTAGTCAAAAGACTAAGCGTAAGAAAAGTCCAAGAATCAAAATTTGCTCATGTATATATGCTCACCCCACCCTGGGTTTTACAGCATACTTGACTTGCCCTGTAGAGGAGGTTCTCTCTCACACAACAATTTATGGAATAGACTATTGGCTAACTAATATTCACATTTTGTTAAATTATACTGTTGACTATATAAGCCTATCTTTAATGTCAATGATTCTACCAGAAATGGAGAGGGTAGACATTTATGTCAGCTAAGGCTGAAAGTGGTAAAGTACGGAAGTAAATTGTAAGGTTACATTGAAATGTGTCTTAGGAAGCTAAGGTAAGCTAAAGATCAATAGGCCTACATAATTTTTAGTAGGGTAGCCTTTGTCTGAAGTGTAATTCAAATAAAGCAATAGAGGAAATTGAAGGGGAATAATAAATTGGTTCCTAGTTAGGTAGTAATGGAATACATTCTATGGAGTCTACAAGCAGGTAATCATAACTGGTTGATTTGATTTAAGTAAGTATGTACATTAAATTATAACTTAGTGAATTTTTTGGGTTAGGTAACACTCATTTAGTACGGTGCAATTAGACCTAAACCTGGACCTGGTTGTTCAGTACAGTCTACATAATGTTCGGTAAAAAGTTACTCCTATTGAGCGTCGGGTTTGGGGGGGGGGGGAGGCGGAGTTAAAAGCTGGAAAAATCACACTTTTAAATTTTTATTGGATATCTCAGAAACTATGCATTTTAGTACAAAATATGTCGTATACAAAATTAATCTACACAAAATTCTAATCAAGATGTTCCTCTTCATTATCTTGTTGCCACGATTGCGCAAGACGGCGATCACGTTTTCATGACCGTGGGAGACGATGATATTGTTTAGATAGCCACAGTTTGTTCATGATTTTGCTGCGATCGCACTAATCAACGATCACGTTTTCATGACATCGGTTGATGATGATAATATCCACACTGCCTCAGAAGATGTTCATGTTTTTGCTGGGATTGCGTAAGATGACGATGACGTTTTCGTGACTGCGATGATGATTATGTCTACATGACCATGGGAAATATTCGTGATTTTGCCACAATTGCAGGAGTCGTTGATATTGTTTCTGTGACCACGGTAGACGATGATGGCGATTCTGTTGATACAGTATTCAGATTATGTTTCTGTGCCTAAAGGAAGATATTTCGGATTTTGCAGTAATCCCAGAATTTGACAATGATGTCTCTACGACTGCATATGATCACCCTATTACCTCGAATTAGGGATGACTGAAAATATCAGGCTGGCAAACCTTTATTTAAAAAAATTTGTCATTTTTGTCGTTAGATCTTCATTTCCCTTTATATGGTCGGTATTTAATGTTAAGAAGTGTGTAAACCCAAATTGGCTTGTTAAAATTTTTCATTGTCGCATTAATCTTTTCTTTACTTGAAAACATCCCACATTTACCTTAACAACACTTTGTGACAAAAAGGCAGGGGTTGGTGTAGTACAATAAAGTAATTTAGAAATTTTGGTAAAACTATAAACATGGTTTTAGTATCAAGAATAGATTTTTCAGGTATTAGTATCGAGAATCTATAAATTTTGGTATCAGCACATTGATTTTTGTAAAAAAACTAGTCTTAAAAATTCGGGAATTAGTCGTGTAAAGTCTGGAATTAGTCTTGAATTTTGAAATGGAAACAAACTAGACACCCTCGTAAACTCAAGTAACTATGATCTAGGCCTATATATTTTTATGAAATTTATTTTAGTCAATTTACATTCCATACATAGCTTATACAATTACTATTTTGAAGAATAGCCTCACAAACAGTTTTTTTCTCCTCTTTCAATATGAATAAAGCAGATTACAATGAATGTTCTAATGGTAAAAGACAAAACTATAAATTATGTTACTGTTAATGCTCATATAAGGTACAGTAGTTGATACTTATTTCACACTCATTAAATTGTTGACATGTTCGGCTGTATAAAGTCTGTGGATTTTGTTTACTACAGAAACAATAGCTTTGGTGAACGACCAGATTGCCAGAGGAGAAGAAGGACGTTTGTTTGCCGTGATCCATGTAGTTGGCAAGCAGTTCATCGTCACTCCGGAAGACATTATCATAATTCACGGTCCTTGGGCTCCTACCATCAGCGACAAAATAACATTTGAAAAGGTTTGTAAGCAAAACTTATCTCAGCAGTAGTGCAAACATGCCTTTTCAAAGTATTGTGGCTGTTACATTCTGAAAAGTGTTTTTATTAAACTAAAAAAGTGTTTCATAAAATACGTACGGCACCTGAAGGATCATAAATCTATATTTTTACGTAAACTTGATTTAAAAAAAATTATCTTATTATTTTTAATGTCTTTTTCTACAACTTCAAAACCATGCCTACATAAAAAAATAAATGGGTTTGTCATGCACATCTTTGTGAAAAGATCAAACCATAAAAAAATTCCCAGTCTAAACAGTTGCTGATGAAATGTATCTGCTTTTTAGTAACAATTGTTTGTTGATAATCATCTGCTTGTTGTTTTACCATAAAACCCATACAGTTTTTTTTTTAATTTATGGATTTGTCACAATTGAAAGATAAAAACATATGATTTTTATGAATGTTGTCCTACATGAATATATTTGTAGTATTTTACTAGAAGTATTCTTTCTGTTGCAGGTAATGCTGGTTGGAGGGTCAGATTTCACATTGTTAGGTCGACCTGTATTGCCACCTGAACTGGTCACAGTCACTGGAACGGTCATAGATAAAGACTTATCACACGTCAAAACAAAGTTCAGATTCAGGAAACGTAAACAGTTCAGAAGAATCAATTGTAAGTATTTTTAATCACACTATTTCTGTCATATATGTTCATTTCTTGGCTGCAAAATTCTAAAATTTATTTATTTCTTTTCAAAGATAAGCTAAGAGATATTGGAGGATGAGACTTAAGTTTATCAAGTATGTTGTGTAAAATAAAAAAAAAATACATAATTGTCTTAAGAATGAGGTTGACAAATCTATAATCCATGATATTATCCTACATTCAATCTAAGCCCACCTTAACATGTTCAATGCGGTGGCGTGTTCAGCTAATGTGCTGTGTGGATGAGTGCGCGAAAATGTTTAAATTAAGTATCATCTAAATGAGAGGCATATACTGCATCCCAGTAGTTGTGGGCGTAGTTTTACAAGAACCCAACCTAACAGATAGCAGCACTAAACAATATTGCTAGGCGGCCTTCAGTATTTCTAAATAGAGGGAAAAAGGAGGGGCAAAAAATACCACAAAAAAGCGGCCAAACACAATTTTGAGGTTAGGTTCCTTCACAATGATACAGTAAATTCATTATCGTTATTATATTGCATGTCATTAGATCCAAGCCTAAACCCCACACTACAATAGATAGGACCACATTTTTTCGTATACCAATACAGTACTTAACCAGCCAAAATGATCTATTCACGACCCTGTCCCTTCAAAGATAATTTTACCAATTCAATAGCTCCGCCAAACAACATTGCAAGAGACAGAAGTGGATATTTACAGAAGACACAAAAACGTTCTGGCTTCACCAGTGCCAAAAATACAGTTTCCATTGGTTCATTTAATCGCTTCTAAGTGCTGCCAACCTATGTATTTTTTAAAACAAAATATCCCATGCTGTAAAGAATGTCATTTTCATTTTTGTTCTTTAAAAATATCAATTTCACAACTCATGTCGTTCGCAACGAGGTTTGACAAAAAAAATTTAAAATAATTTGTATTAAAAAAATAATCTTGGGGTGTGCGAAGCAGCAAAAATGTATTGAATTGATGTAACACGGCATTTTTATATTTATACTTGTCTATGGATTGAAATAACAACAATTACAATTTACCTAATTTGTGTTAGTCTGCAAATTTTTGTTAATGTGGTATTTGACCAAAACGTAGGTACGCATACATGTAACCTATACTTTTAGGTGAAAAATACTTATTTTCAGTCATATCTTAGAGGAGTTTGTATATATTGCTGGAAATGTCAGAGAATTACTTGCATATTTTATAATTTGTATGTGCTGGTGTTTGTTGGTATCATATTGTTGAGCATAGTACTATAGTTCGGCCGCTTAGAAAACGACCTCCTCCAGCATTGGTTTAGCATTAGCGCGCAGGTCGTTTTCTAAGCGGCCGAGCTATATTTTATAATATTGATTTTATAACTAAAAATTGGCAAAATTGGTTTTGGTGTGAACTAAAACAACCTTGAAATGTAATGATCATTGAGAAAGAAATTAGAGGAGGTAGCCTATTTCCCAAGGTAGTAACTTGTTTCAGTGAGGTAAAGAACAAACATTGATAATGTATGCCTGGATGTTAATATGACTAATGATGACTCAGTTTAATTATTTAATGTACTTTGATATAGGCTTAAATAACTTATAAATAAATAAAAATAAAAACTATATGGCTACTCAATGTCTCAGTAATAACTTATACGGCTAGGCAACATACATGAATCGAATTGTTATTTTTATTACCATAGAATGTAATCGCGATTCGTTGCTCGATGCTTTGCACACCCCTAAAAATTTTGTTTCTTTCTTTTAATTTGTTTAAACAAAGTTGATAAAAACTATGAATTACACACATAAACTGGACAATCTTATTGGTCTCCTCACCAGAGCAATTTTAGATTCATCATTGGCTAACTTTAAATCATTTGTAGCATAGGCCCAAAGGCCCTTCCCGGCATTTATTTTTTCACTACACTACTGTGAAATGACATGTTTACGTTTAATGTTTATCACCTGCGAAAATCTATCAATTCATTGTTTACTTTGGCAAAAGAATGTTTACTATCCGAAAGTAATGTTTACTATTTTTTTGGATTTTGCAGACATAAACAAACAAATATTTGTTATTGTTTTATCAACTGTTTCCATTTTCAACGACAAAACTAAACATTAACTTTAAATTGAAGGCATAACGTTAAAAATTCTATGAGTTTTGTAATCAAGAAAATAATTATTCTTTGTAGTGCAGTGAAAAGTAACGTTCAAAACACAAGTGAAAGTGGGTCTATATATATTCTCGACCATTTTTTTCAAATATGTAATGACTCACTTTCTAATCTCGTTATGAAATATACTATTCTGAGGTCCTGGCATTTTTACATAGGAATGAATGTGAAGGAATAATCAAAAGATTTTGTGTGTGTTTGTAAAAAAAAAAGCTGGACTAACCCTAACAGTATATCTTGTTAACTTTTGCTGCACACAAGTATTATGTCGTGAGTGTTCATTTTTTGAGCAAATTTAAGTTACATTTTTTCTATAAATCATCAAAGTTTTAGTGTTTTAACATATTTTTAATGTTATCTGACTGGATTGTATTTGCTTACAGTCATAAGGACCCCGTTGACCATGGTTCGTATAAATGAAGTCAAGATTGAAGGCAAAGTTGGCGAGAGAAAGGATGTGGAGGGGTTAAATCAAGTGTTCTTTTAGTCAAGGAGTTATATTTTGTTATTTCTGTAAATAAAGTGCTTTAGTATGTGTACACAGTTGGGAATATTCTATTATATTGTGTTGCCCTGGTCATTGAGAAAACAGAAAGTTATGGTGATGGCAGTGTCCAACAGCTATGTCTGTTACTGCTTTATAAGCTAAAATTTTAATGTATAGTTTGATAACTGTAATCAAACAGAAGGAAAAAAATCTTTTATGTTTAAAACTGTAACTTCTATTAGGGGTGTAAATCTAGCTGGGGCCAGATGAAACATCCATGAATTAATGTTTTAATTACTGTACACATCATTCTGGACCTTAACTTACGGACCACCTTCATATTTAGACAAATTAAACTTTTTAAACTCATTTCTTCAATAACGTTTAAACGGTTAAAGTAATAAATAGGCATTTGGAATAAAAAATGTATTAGCTTCTACTGTTAGTCAAAATTCATTCTAGTTATAAATTGGTTCAATAGAAACAGTATTAACTGTTCTAAAAAGGATATTGTGAAAAATATTAACAAACATACAGTAGAACCTCAATAACAAGACTCTTAAGAAGATTATCAATTCAGACTTGTTTGACGTCTTATCAAGGTAGGGTCACTTGTTATAAAGTGTCTTCTTATTGATATTCCACTATATTTGTAAAGTATGCAGTTATCTTTTTCATTATTGCCGTAAAAGCCAAGATAAATGATGATGACCCTTTTTAGTGCAACTATTGTCATGGGGCCTGTCACAACAGAAGCCAAAGCCTAAACTATCTCTATTCACACTAATGGATATATGATGGGATGTTGTATCCAAGCCTTGAATGGAAAACTCAGACCAAACAAATCCAAGAGATCCCATTTTTGACTTCTTCGATCAAGGATTTCAATTTCTCGAGGTTTGATTTATATCAAGGTTCTACTGTAGTTGATTCCTTTCATTCATCTAAGCAGTAAGTTTTATATCGTTACTATTGTAAATTAATTGTTAACTGTGTGTTAAAAGATTAACTAGCTTTTGATGAAATTTTATTAAATTTATATTCATGTACGCTAACAATTTTATTACGATACTGTTCAATACTGTATACACTATTTTAACTAGGGATGGTTAAGACGAGACGAGATTTCTTTTTGATCGAGATTTTTTTGAGACCAGAATAAAAAAAAAAATTGTTAAAAACGCCTGCAGAAAGTCAATTCAATACCCGCAATATAGGAGCGTGTTGATGTTGTGTTTCCTTTGCGAAGGCGTTCTTATTTAATTAATTCTTTAGATGTAAATATTACTTTAATTATTTTATCATTTGAGAATTTTTGTTAAGTGTAAGCAGAGTGTGAGGCATGTTTTACTACTATAAACAAAGCAAAAACAAGTCATTATTTTATACAAATTAATATTGATTTTATTTTGTTTTTTACACAAAAGATATGGTGTACATAGGGATACCTATCCTGACACATAGATAATGTCATTCTAAGTTTGTTTGAATCCCGGAATTGCAATAAGTTGTTTTACTTTTGAGCTTTTTAGGGACTTATGTCCCTACAAGCCACTAGTTGTTATTATTTTTGTATTTAAACAGTCATCTAACAATGTTACAAAATCAGGTAAAAGTGTTGAACGTGCATTTCCTGTTATGTACGAGAAGGGAAATCCCGTCTCGATCTTGTCTCGAAATTTTATGAGAAATAAAAAATATCGTCCTGTCTTATCTCAAACTAAAATTCCAATCTCGTCCATCCCTAATTTTAACACAACATTTTGATAGAATTTTCAACTTTTGGTAACATTCTCAAACCTTTCCAATACGTGTAATGAAATTGCAGTGTTCCTGACCAATCCAGTTCAATATCTGTTGTGCAGCTTCATTGACATGCCTATTCAAAAAAGTGCCCCGCAAGACTGATCAGTAAATTTTCCAATGTCAACTGATTTTTCCATGATTCTATCGAGTCCTTTCTGTAATAAATAGCATGATTTTTCTATGCTAGAATCCAGCTGCTGACTGTAAAGTGTTGTGAAAAACCCGTAATTATTTGGTTTCTAAAACTTTATTTTTTATGGTTTTCAAATAATTTTAATAAATGTTTGTTATAAAAAAAGGTAAGCAACAAAGGCACTAAAACAAGATGTTTGGTAGAAGTGTAACTGCGACTGTGTAGTTTGTAACTGTTTATGGGTCATATTAATTAATTAAAACAAGTGTGTAATTAGTAACACAAGTTTATTAATAAAACCACATTGTAATCACAACAGATACACAGGGTCACATGTTGAGGAGTTGACGGAAGAGTCTGTAGTTGGAATGAAACTAGAGGGTGGAACGGAAGGGGAATGGAGATACATAGAGGAATGGAAACATAGAATATATAATTATACAATACTGTATCAACATCTCCCTTATCAACAAATAACAAATTTTTTACTTTTACTGTTAAGAATATGTGAAAGAACTAAACAAACATTTTCAGCCTACTCATATCTAGTTAGGTTACAATGAAGTACTAGTTAGCATCAAATGTAAGTCTCCTAGGATTTCTGATTGTTCTCACCATGTTTATGGGTCATATTAATTAATTAAAACAAGTGTGTAATTAGTAACACAAGTTTATTAATAAAACCACATTGTAATCACAACAGATACACAGGGTCACATGTTGAGGAGTTGACGGAAGAGTCTGTAGTTGGAATGAAACTAGAGGGTGGAACGGAAGGGGAATGGAGATACATAGAGGAATGGAAACATAGAATATATAATTATACAATACTGTATCAACAGTAACTGTCATAGACAAAAGAAATTAATAAAATTTGGTTGTCCATGGTTAAACGGATTTCTATATATTTTCATTATATTTCCATTATTTTCACATAATTTACGATAGGGACTTTCTGGCTTATAATACTTGTAATTTGTCGTAAGTTAAAAGCACATAGAATAATTGTTCAAATAAGTTAACATGGTGAATAATACTTGTATATCAAATTGATTGAAAGATCAACAGCAATTACCTTGAGAAAACAGCAGGCACCTAAACATCTGCCTTGATAAACGATTGCATACTGTCATTGACTATATAACCACAACCAATACTGTCAAGTCAATGATACTGTCCCTTGAGTGGTAGGGAGTACAGAGAGGGGATAGGAAGTAAAATAAAGTTTATTGTATTTAAATCACATAAGTTACAAGTGAGTTTATAATCCATTTAATAAATTTAGAAGAACAAAATATAAACTCCAAACATTTATAAAAGAGATCATTCATAAGCTGGGCCAGAGTCTCGCATGAATAATGTTGCCATGGCAACAGTTTCTGTGACGTCATAAGCCTACCTCAAGTGACTCAGTCGTTACACTACAACATTCATTGGTTAACACTGGGTTTCAATACAATTGTATGGGAACATTGGGGTTGAATGAACTGTTGCGTGAATAGTCTGAAAATCCGTACAAGCTGAAACCGCTTAGTTTGGTGATATTTTTGATAATGAATAATAATAATTTGTTTACAGTCACCTGACAATGTGGGCTTCCTTGCACTAGTTATAGTACAGAATTGCTGCATTTACTTACTTTTGATGCACTCTTTTTACTTTTGCTGTACTCCAAACCAATTATTGGTATTCGAACCATTCTACATAAAACAGCGTGCTTTTATTAGCCACGTAAAATAAGCAGCTTTTACGTAGGCAGTTTAAAATAAAAGGCATCAATCAAAGATACTATGACTACGATCAGCTGTTGCAGTGTTTCCCATTGGATTTATTTTGTTGCAGCGTTTAAAGCTTATAAATAAATAAATAAATAAAAATGTCTTTATTTACGAGCGTCTTTCAGTTGGATTCAACCTAACCTAAAATGTGTTGTTTAATTTTTGAAAGATTTATTTCTATGCTTTATAATAACTGTAGGAAAAATATAATGTGTAACACAGGTGCAAATTTTCTTTGCTGCACTCGAGAAACTTTCCACACTCGCCTGCGGCTAGTGCGTAAACATTTCTCTTGTGTGCGGCAAATTGCCACTTCCCACACTAGTTACGCAAATAACTATGGAACCATGGAACTATGGAACTATGGAAACTTGTTTATTATTTTTTGGTAAACCAGCTTTTTTTCTGCTGAGTAATACCAACTTTAAGTTGTCTAGTATAATATCCCTACATCCTAAATGATCAGTCTGTTAGAATGTTTAGAAGACAAAATAGAAAAGATTACGTAATTAGATTGTAAAATTTGATGAGAAGAAATAACGTAAATGAAAACAGTGGAGGTTATCACACTCTTTTCAAATTCATTTTCAGGGATTTAAGTGAGGCCAAGAACTTAGTTGTGACATTTGCGACCAGTAACAAATCGACACAGATTTTAGGTGCAAAATTAGGCGAATTGCACTGCTCAGCTTATTATCGTGATTTTTCAGCTACTGTACCTATTATTCAAACTTTTTGAACTTGGTGTCGTTTAAAAATCATTTTAAATGCCAAATAAAATTTATCAAGGCCATACAAATCAATATAGCTGTCATTTTAAATATAAAAAAAATAGTTTTTTATGATAATATTTTATGCAGAGACCTTTTAATTTATAAACGAGCACTATAACCACTCAGCTACCTAGCCAGTGATAAAATAACATAAATTATGATAAACCAACCTAAACTATCTGCAACAGATATTCATATAAACACAGACTGTCTACGTATGGTTAATCAGTACCCCCTCCGCAGCAAACCTGCAGACTAATTGAATTTCCATTTGCCTAATTTGATTTTCAATTATATCCATTTCAATAGCTTTAGGTTTAACAAGTACCTAGGTTTTCTGATACAGGGAGGGTAATAAAGTGTGTTTTTTAAGTAAAATATTAATAATAATTAAACATAAGCAAACTAAGAGTTAACTTATTCTCTGTAAAAATAACATGGGAATTTTAAATTTACAATTTTTAAATTTTCTTTGTAGCCAATAATTGTACAGAACACTTCAACATACTAAATTATCTGCTTTTTTTAGCTCTTTAAAATGGTTCAGAATGAAATTGGGAAA